AAAAAAAAAAAAAATTTAAAAAACGCCCACAATCAGAGGTGGTTGCTGGGCCACCTGACCCGCCAGCTGATTCAATTCGGGTGGGGAGCTGGAGCCCCAGGCCCGGCCATGCTGGAGCGGTGCTCCACAGGTGTTCACGGAGGACCTGAGGACATGATGGTGGCATTGCACAGGTGGCTAACGGCCACTGGCTGAGGAAGCCGCAGCAACTTCAAGGATATCACCCCTGACAAACTTCTCTTGGCCGTCAAGACCACAGTTTCCCTGGCCGTCAAGCTAAGCCAGGCCCAGCTGGGGGCTATCTGCGTGGGAAATGTGCTTCAGCTCAGGGCCGGAGCAATCATGGCCAAAATCGCTCAGTTTCTGAGTGACACCCCAGAGACTGCCTTTGTCCACTGTCATAGACAGTTTTCATCTGGGCTCCAGGCAGTGGCCATCATAGCTGGTGGCCTCACAAATGGGTGTTATGATATTGGCATGGCTTGTAGGTAAGAATTTCTTTCTGCCGGAGCTTACCAACCAAATTCTAACAATAAAACTAATCTTCATCTCCAAAAGCAAGCAAACAACCACCACCACAAAACACCCCACAATCAGGCACCACTACACAGCCTGACTAAAATAAAAGACTGACTTTATCAGATGTTGGCAAGGATGTTGAGCAACTAGACTCTCAAACGCCGCTGGTAGGAATGTAAAACGGTATGATCACTGTGAAACAGTCTGGCAGCTTCTTAAAATGTTAAACATATGCTTACCCTATGACTCAGCCATTCCTCAATTCTTGGAAATTTATCTAAGGGAATTCAAAGCTGTACACAAACATGTATAGCAGCTTTATTTTTATAGCCTCAAACTAAAAACAAACCATTGGCAGGTAAATGGATCAACAAACCGTAGTTAGACCACATAATGGGATACGACTCAGCAATAAAAAGGAAAGAACTGTGGTACATACATAATATGGATAAATGTCAAGCTAATAATGCTGAGTGAAAAAATGCAGATGAAAAAGACTCTATGATTCCATTCATATAAAATTCCAGAAAATACGGGGGCACCTGGGTGGCTTCGTCGGTTAAGCCCAAAAGAAAAGGGTGCTTCCTAGGAATATGGACAGAGGGCAGGAAGGGATAGAAGACGCAGGAGCACAAGTAGCCTTTGGGGGGCGGTGAAGGATATGTGCGCTATCTTGATTGTGGCGATGTTTTCACGGTGTATACCTGGGTTAAAACTCATCAAGTTGTACGCTTTAAATATGGACAATTTGTTGTACATCAATTACGTATCAATAAAGTCATTAAAAAAAAAGCACATTTATTAAAAAGACCTCCTGAGTTAACAGAGGCATTTTTTTTTTTTTAATTTATTTTTGGGACAGAGAGAGAGAGAGCATGAACGGGGGAGGGCAGAGAGAGAGGGAGACACAGAATCAGAAACAGGCTCCAGGCTCTGAGCCATCAGCCCAGAGCCTGACGCGGGGCTCGAACTCACGGACCGCGAGATCGTGACCTGGCTGAAGTCGGACGCTTAACCGACTGCGCCACCCAGGCGCCCCAAAAAAAAAGCACATTTAAATAGCAATAACAATGTGTGCTTTGGGCAGGTGACAAAGTATTTTGTGGTCTTGACAGCACCCAGATGAAGAAGGGAGCCAGGCACTATTTTCCTGGTTTCACAGATGGAACAGTGAGGGTGAGAGAGGTGACAGGGTTTGCCAGAAGCCACAGCACCAGGAAATAGGTGATCTGGGCTGGGGCCCATGCCTTAGGTTGGATTGGTTAGGGTTCAAAGCACTGGCATTAGTTCCCAACGTATCTCAGCCATTTATTAGCTGGGCTCCTTATGTTACCTCTTTATATCTCCGTTTTCTCCCTTTACAGCTCCTTCTATGGTGAAAAATAGCGCAAGTACAAAAACACGCATAAAATACACAGTTTATTAGATAATTATAGAATGAACACCCATGTAATCATCACACAAGTCAAGAAACACTGCCAACAGGGGGCACGCTGTGAGGCCTCTCCTCAATCACAATCTCATCCCTGCACTAGCTCCTCCCTAGGTAACCACCACCGTCCTGGTTACTACCCTAGTCTGAGCCCATGTGGGCTCCCTCCAGGATTACTGCAATATCTATTTTTTTAAACGTTTATTCATTTTTGAGAGACACAGAGACAGAGCATGAGTGGGGGAGGGTCAGAGAGAGAGGGAG